GGTTTAATTGCGACAGGACTGTTTGTGGACCTCAAGAGTTAACTCCTTGTAGGTCGCGTCTAGTTCATGGAGTGGCTTGTTAGTGTGGTGAACAGTGTGTGGTGAACAGTGTGTGGTGAACAATGTGTGTGGTGAACAGTGTGCGTGGTGAACAGTGTGTGTGGTGAACAGTGTGTGTGTGGTGTGTGTGGTGAACAGGAAGAGTGTGGCGTGTCCACAACTTTACTCCCACTTCTCCCACCAAGATCCTCGGTCTAGTCTTCTCGACAGCAAATATTCTGAGAATATTGTATAAAGGGATTTTTTCGTCTTAAAAAGTTATCGCGGAGTGAAAACAGTTCCCGTTGCCCTGGGGCCCCCGCGCGAGGCTGGCGTGGGAGGCGCGGGGGGGGGGGGGGGGGGGTTAGATGAACCTCCGGGGGGAATAGGTCTCGCTCCTTGTATCAGTACCCAGACACTTTAGCATGGGGATCCTGGAACCAATCCCACAGACATTTCATCAGGAGGAGGAGGAGCAGCCAGGGGGGTGACAGTTGGTATCAGGGTGAAGGCGTAGGGAGGGAGGAGGGCGGCTAGGGACACTCTTGGTCTGGGTGTAAGGGAGAAGACAGGCTACGTAAGGTTGAAGGATGAACTATATAGGCTGACAAAGGAAGTGTTTTGATAGTGTTGATCTACTGGTCTCTCGCTGTTCTTCAGTCTTGGTGGATTTCCTTTAGGTGGCAGCACCACCCATTTAAAATTATTTTTAACAAAGATTTTAACTTTGATTTATAAGTTTCATTTAATGAACATGAAGTGTCATTTTATATATTTGATTAAAAACTAACTTAGCAGCGTGACCTAATCTAAACTAATTTATAAATTCATATTTAAACCATATAGAAAATTATTAAGTTAACTAAGCAAAACAGTCCTTGCTTACTAGGCCTAATAGTAAACCTTTCTTCGGTTAACAGTCTCAGAAAAAGAACTGTAGTTTTCCTCACATCGCTGTATACTAAGGAAACTAACATAAAAATGAGGCTGAATGCTAAAACTGAATGTGATGCAGGATATAATCAAAGTGATCAACGTTGTTTGTTTCACACAGCTCCAGTTGACTGACGAGGAGCTCAGTAGAGTGAGCCACGTCCTTAACAACAGATACTCTAACGGAGGAGATCAGAAGAGATCAGACGAAGGTGAGAATGTGGAAGAGATCAGACGAAGGTGAGAATGTGGAAGAGATCAGACGAAGGGGAACCGCCGTGCTCCCACTGATGAAGAGATCAACACCAGGGTGTCCCCACCTATTAAACTCTTCTACAGGAACGTCTCAGCGCCTCACTAGACGGAATAATGCGTCCTGAAACACTTAATCGATACCATCCGGAACTCCTTGAAAGAGATAAATGGTGTATATGTCATTACATGTCCACTTGGAGACTGGAAACCTCATTACTTCTCCAGTCCCCCACTCCTCCAGTCCCCTACTCCTCCAGTCCCCTACTCCTCCAGTCCCCTACTCCTCCAGTCCCCTACTCCTCCAGTCCCCTACTCCTCCAGTCCCACACCCACCAGTCCCCCACTCCCAGCAGCAGCGTTGTGTCACAATACAAGCCTCTGAAGTAGACGAAACAGCACTGTCACCACCAAACCGGAGGCGAACCAAGCCTTGTCGAGTCCTTCCAGCCTCACACACACAATTTGGACTCGAAAATAGCCTCTACAGACTTTTGGCAATGGGGTGAGGTTTCCCGGGCGGTGGGTGCTCATGCCGGGATCCCCAGGAGAGGCCTGAGCGGTAGTATAAACCGCTCTCACAGGCTCTTCACGGACTCTTTGGCTTAGTCCTCTGCAAGCTCTTTTTTATCGATTCCTCACACGTGTAATAGTTGTTTGAGTGTTCCTAGACTCCTCAAGCTGGCGCCCCAAGTGACGTTCCTTCTGTGAAGTCAGCCGGTGTCTGAGTATAAAGATATCTTTGAAGATAAACACCTGGAAGGTCAGATGCTTGGGAAAATGCACTGAAAGTGTAAACCTCCACAGATGAGTTTATGATTACCCTCGGGCCGCCCTGGCTCTTGAACAGTATGGAAGGCTTCCCACAGGGAGTGTCAGAGGGAAAAATGGTGCTCCTGGGTGATCAGGGATCTTCTGAATCCACGACTCTCATTGATCTTGTACGCCCTTGCATGCCTCAACTTACATATGTGACCCGGGAGCATGAAGTCATTGAGGTCCACTTGAACGGTGAAGTGAACACTTTGCCTTCTGTCTCGCTGACACTTGGAGAGGCTTCAGGAGGCTTACTGAGAACATGATCACGTCTTGTCCTCTGTGACCTTGATCGAGCCTTCTGCACAAGACTGTACAAATATAATTATCATCGTCTGGTATGGAGAAGATCCTGCTCCAGAGCAGTTCCACTTCCTTGCCTTCACTTACCGACTTGTTCCATACAAATATGTGAATATCTACATACGTTTTAAGTGTAGCCGGACACTTAAACGACTTGTGTATTGAACATCGCTCATGTCTTTTGTCGTTTCAAAAGAGGACGGGATTGGACTACCAGATCTCATCCCCTCTGTATGACAATTTATCAATCTGGGATTTTTAATATAAAATAGCAAACTCTTTCACGGTAGAGTGTACAATTATCAGCAGTCGTAGTATTCAATCATTAGAAACAAATTTCATATTTTTTTGAGATATATACAAGAGTTGTTACATTCTTGTACAGCCACTAGTACGCGTAGCGTTTCGGGCAAGTCCTTAATCCTATGGTCCCTGGAATACGATCCCCTGCCGCGAAGAATCGTTTTTTCATCCAAGTACACATTTTACTGTTGCGTTAAACAGAGGCTACAGTTAAGGAATTGCGCCCAGTAAATCCTCCCCGGCCAGGATACGAACCCATGACATAGCGCTCGCGGAACGCCAGGCGAGTGTC